TAGGTTGGCGAAAGTGAGGTATTGTCCCTAAGTTGGAGTCTTCCAGAGCTAGCATGGTTCTCCTGGGGTGCACAGCCTTCTGTAGCCTGCCTCGTGGGGTCAGAGACTCAATCTATGATCTTTTCACAAACACTGAACAAACAAACAGTAAACACCATTTTGCTCATAGTTACTGTGCTTTGAGTAAGCAGTGAGAGGTGAGGGGCTAAACGTGTTCTTACGTGTGCACTGTCTCTGGCTGCAGTCCCCTGCTGCAGATGTATGTTGTTTGTCTGGTCTTCATGAAGTACATTTTTTCCCTCTCAGTGCTAGCTTAGTACCTTCTGAATTGGGGCCAGAGGCTGCAGTACCCAACACTGGATGATGTGGGTGTGGACTGCCCAGGGAACATTTTTAATCTGCCTTGTTCATCCTCCACCCCCACAGTTTGCCCCCTCCCTTTACTTGGTGTGTACTCAGCAATGTGGGTGAGTTGTGGTGTTAGCCTAGAGTAGTGGTTTCCAAACTTTTGATGTCAGGATCCCTTTCACTTACAATTATTGAGTAGCCCAAAGAGCTTTATTTACAGGGATGATTTCTATTAATATTTACCATATTAGAAATAACAACTGAGAAAGTTTAAGAATACTTATGTATTTTAAAATGATTATTAAAAACTTATGCATAAACATATTATGAAAACTGTTTTCCCAAATAAAAATATATTAGTGAAATGAATGACACTTTTTCACATTTTTAAAGTGTTCTGGGGCCGGCCCCGTGGCTCACTCAGGAGAGTGCGGTGCTGGGAGCGCCGAGGCTGCGGGTTCAGATCCTATATAGGGATGACCGGTGCTCTCACTGGCTGAGTGTGGTTCAGGCAACACCAAGCCAAGGGTTGTGATCCCCTTACAGGTCATTTTTAAAGTGTTCTGGGGCCGGCCCCGTGGCTCACTCAGGAGAGTGCGGTGCTGGGAGCACCGAGGCTGCGGGTTCAGATCCTATATAGGGATGACCGGTGCTCTCACTGGCTGAGTGTGGTGCAGGCAACACCAAGCCAAGGGTTGTGATCCCCTTACAGGTCACAATCAATCAATCAATCAATCAATCAATCAATAAATAAATAAATAATAAATAAATAAATAAAAAGTGTTCTGGATTATCATATTTGCTTCATTTAATCTTTCGTGATTATGGTATTTGAAGTATGTAAAGAAGAAGTTGGGAGGACCTCATGGACCCCTAAAGGCTCTCAGAAATGCTCAGGGGTCTTTGGACTGACCATACATTGAGAACCATTGACCTAGAAGAATGTAAACTAGGAAAACAGTCTCTCCCCCAAATAGCATTTAGTGTGAAACATGGACTGCCTTACAAAGTCAGATGGGCAATCATTCTTTTTCTCCCACTTCTCAGGAGCTGAAGGCCAGAGACTCAGGCTAACCTAACCTGGTAGTGGACTTGGGGGCCTATCTTGCTGTGCTGAGTCCTAGTGCTGTGTGGGATAGGAAATTGTACTTGAGAGTCTAATGGAACATGCTGGAAAATTCGTTTTAGCTGGCCAGGTTTGTGCAGGACAGGTTTCTTGCATAAAGAAAATCAATTATAGTTTCTGAAATTCTGCAACATGGAAGGTTTGAAGGTTTGAGTAAAAACCAAAGATCTGAGATTTTTGAGGTTCACAGGTATTTTGGTGAATCTTAGTGAAGATGTTTATTATAGTTATTCTTTGGAATTCACATCAGCTTTCAGTTCTGTACATTTGTGAATTCCAAATTTTGTGAAAATCAGTTACAGTGATGAAACTTTCTTTTGTCTCTAGAAGTCTGTTAGAAAGTGAGGTTCCTAGGCTGATGTGGACCATTATAATTAATAGAGCATTGGCTCTGCAAGGTTGTTCCCCTACCTTAAATATCATTTATTTTGCAAGTGTGCTGCAGAATTGTCATATGTGTGGCATTTTTTCCCTGTCTTGGATGGAAGGTGGGTTTTTATAATGCGTATGGTGTATCTGAAGACTGTTGCCCATGATTGGACACCATTCATTAGCAACCCTCTGTATCAGGCATTGTACAAGTACTCCCACTTCTGCAAAGTATATGTTCTGGCCATTTTAAAGAAGAGGAAGCTAAGGTTCGGAGAAGGTGGATAGTCTATTCCGAGCTGTACGTGCCAGAGGCGGTTGCTTACGTACTTCAAATGCCATTGAAATGCACATCAGAGGGTTGTACTTAGCATAAGGGGTGCTACATATAATTTTTTATTAGTGAAATGGATGAAGTTCAAGATCTGTAGTTGGTTAGGGAGGCATCTGTGCCCTGCCACCAGCGACTCTGTAGTAGAACTGAGTCCCCACACTCCATGAAGCATCAGTGTGGCCTGGCCCCGCCATCGGATTGCCACCATGCCCTCCCCCTACTGAACCTTTCCCAAGAGGGGCTTGTGGGAGGTCTGAGGACAGAGCTTGTAAGAAGCAGTGTGGTCATTTTTTTCCTGTCAGCTTGTTAATAAGGTCAGGTGTTTGGCACAGTTTGGCCTGAGGCTTGCTTTTACATAACATACTGCTTGGTAGCACAGCTGTAACGGAGGTGGCTGCAGCTGCCTCTGAAGGCTGCTTACGGGGCTGTCTCCCCCCAAATGGTGTGAATAATTTGCAGGGCCCATTGCAAAATGAAATGCAGAACTCCTTCAAAAATAAAGACTTGCAAGACAGTGACAGCAGAGCATTAAACCTGTGCAAGGCCCCTCTAAGCACAGAGCCCGTGTGACTGCACAGGACACGCATCCATGAAGCCACTGTGTCCCCAAATCTGAAAACTGTTGAGTGGCCAGCTTAGTGTAGGTCACTCCCCAGCCTGCCAGGCCCATCATCACAGGGACATTATGAGGGTTAAATGAGAAATGGCCGCTCCACAACAGGGCCAATCAGTATGAGCTTGTGGGTGGTGGTGGTGGTGGTGGTGGTGTGTATGTGTGTCCCTCCCCAGCCTGCCAGGCCCATCGTCACAGGGACATTGTGAGGGTTAAATGAGAAATGGCCACTCCACAGCAGGGCCAATTAGTGTGAGCTCTGGGTGGGTGTGGGGTGTGTGTGCGTGTGTGTGCGTGTGCGTGTGTGTGTAGGGCGGGTATCTAATAGGAGAGGGTGTCTGATTAGCAAGAAGGATAACACTGATAGATTAAATGTAAAATAACTAAACCTTTCCTGGTATCCCCCATGCCACAGAACTTGCATGTGTTCTGCTGCCAGCACCTATTTGAGACCCAGAGGAGGAGGGACTGGGGCAGGGACATGAGCAGAAAAGCAGAGGTGGAGAAGTGCTCTGTCATCTTGGAAGTTCGTGAGGGTTATGGAGTGAAAGAGAGTCTATTTTTGAGAATCCAAGGAAAGTGACGCACTTTGTGTTGTGCAGTCTGGAAGCCACATGTGGCTGGCTGTTGAGCACTTGAAATGTGGCTGCTCTGAATTGAGATGTGCCGGCAGTACAAAAAGAATGCAAAATGTCTCAATATTTTTTACATTGATTACATGTTGAAGTGATAATATTTTGTATGTGTTGGGTTAAACAGAATGTCTTATTTAAATTAATCTCACCTGTTATTTTTTAATGTGGCTGCTATGTTAAAATCTGTATGTGGTTGGCATTACAGTTCAGTTGCACATGCTGCTCTAGACTTGGAAAACTCACAGGCATAACCACCCCTGCTCTGCTTTCATGCACATACACTCAACTTTGCACACAACCTGGGAGACCCTGCTCCTGGTGCCTGCGGTAAGCCCTGGAGTAGAGGATAAAGCTGGGAGGGGAGGTAGGGAGGTGAGTGTGCATACCTCTGGGCCAGTAGAGTGGAGAACTTGTTCTTTGAACACTAGGGAGCTATTGATTGCTTCCTAGTAGTGGGGTGACGTGCTGAGCGTATTTGGGGAAGATTTGTTGGGAGAAGAGGTAGAGCAGGTGAGAAGTGAATACAGGACACGAAATCAGGAAAGTAGATAGGAGACTTGCCATCCTCTTAAATTAAGTTCAGATAAACTAATCTGGATTGATTAAATGCTTTCTCATAAAGCTGAGGAAGAACACGTGAATGTATCCTTCTCCCTTTGCTAAGATCGAATAATTATGGTGAAAAATTAACACGTGGCTTGGAGGCACCTTTTGACCTAGCGAGGTCCCTGATTCTCACCTGGGTTTAAGCTTGGACCTCACTGGCCTGGCTTGGCTCCAGATGTTTCTTCTCTTAATCAGTCACTTTTTTGCTCCCAGCAAACACACTTTCCCATCAGTCACATTCCCAAGGAAGGGAAGGGGGGATTTGACAGGTATCAGCCACAAAAACTTCCTAGGCAAAAGGAGTCTTTACACCTTATTTGAATACCAGCTTTTTATGAAGATAACCAGGATGTTGACAGCTTTTTTAAAAAAAACCATTTTCTGGAAGGTAACTATTTTGTGTAAAAGAGAACGCCTGCTTGCTCCTTAGTCTGTTTCAGAACACCAAAACACTGCCTGTGGTTTAAATGTACAGGAATATGCATGCATGTCGTGTGAAGCATTTGCAGGCAAGATATTGCAGTCTGAGAAAAGCTGATCTGCGGAGTGTCGGTAGCAAGGTGAGGCCTTTTGGCCACATTTTGATCATTCCAGGATAGGGTGGTTGTGTAGACACTACAACTATCGTGTTCCTCTTGAGAACAGAAGTTACATTGAGAGGTTATGTTCTTTTTGTTTTAGATTGAAATCCAGATATTTGCAGGACCAAATTATTTCCACTAATTTCTTTCACTGGAACCACCATCCAAAATGAGTATGAATAGTTTCTGATTTTTAATTGCAAACATTATTTCAGGAAAAACCGGCTGCCTTGTTTACAGAGCAGCAGTAGTGTTAAAGGCTACGTTCTGACCCAATTTCTAAAGATTTTTTTGCTTTAATCTGAATGAAGCACATTGGATTTCTGGTTCAGTAGGCTTTTTTTTGTTTTTTTTTTTTTTTAACAACTGATATGTATTCTTTTCACAGGGCGAACCTTTCCAACACATCCGTACTTTTCTGCCCAGCTGGGAGCAGGGCAGCTGTCACTTTACAACATTTTGAAGGCCTACTCGCTTCTAGACCAGGAAGTAGGCTATTGCCAAGGTCTCAGCTTTGTAGCAGGCATTTTGCTCCTTCACATGAGTGAAGAAGAGGCGTTTAAAATGCTCAAGTTTCTGATGTTTGACATGGGACTGCGAAAACAGTATCGGCCTGACATGATCATTTTACAGGTATAGAGCATTCCTTATGTCTTTAATAAAAGCAAATGCTAAAAAAGTTTATTATCCTTCTGCAGGTATACTCATATCTAAGGAGCTTTTCCACTTTCAGTTAACATTGTAATAGCTGTCATTGCTGATAACTTACTCTGTGCTAGCTATTATTCCAAGTGCTTCATATGTACTTACTTCTATGATAACCCATGGGAAGACACCATTAATTGGCTCAGTTTGTAGATGGAAAACTAAGGCTCAGAGAAGCCTTAATTGAGCCAGGTCACACAGCTAGCCAGTGGCAGAGCTGGAGTTTAAATCCAGGCCTGTCTGACTCCAGGGCCTTCCCCGTCGGACCCTTCATTAACCATTAGGCAGTCTATTTCCTACCTCCCAGCCTTGGCATCTGCTACTTCCTCTGCCAGGGACCCCTATCCCCACCTCTGTCATCCAGGGTTCAGCTCAAATATCACACCCTGGGAGAATCTCTTCCTGACCACCCTGGTGGTATGTCTCCCTGCTTCTACCCTGGGCACACTGTGTCACATTATCCTGTCTCATTTCTTTTGCATGACACACTCCCTGCCTGAAATTACCTTTTTAAAAAAAATTTATTAGCATTTTCATTCTTACAAATCATGATATTTCTTTATGTCCTTTGCCCAACCTATCACTTCCCAAACCTCCTCCGTCCGTCCCTCCCCACCCCAATCTCTAGCATCCATAGAATTGCTCTCTCCTTTTGAAAGTTCATCTTATTGTTGTGGTCTTTTCTTTCTTTCTTTCATTCCATCCTTCTTCCCTCCTTCTCTCCTCCCCACCTCTCTTACTTCTTTCCTAGCAGCCAGTTATGAGTGAGAATATGAGGTGTATCTGTTTCTTTGTCTGGCTTATTGCACTTAATTTTCTACAGACTCATCCATGTTGCTGCAAATGGCAGAATTTCATTCTTTTTTATGGCTGCGTAGTATTCCATTGTGAATATATACCACATTTTCTTTATCCAGTCATCTGTTGATGGACACTTAGGTTGGTTCCATATTTTGGCTATTATAAATAGAGCTGCTGGACCTGTACCTCTCACCACATACCAAAAGCAACTCAGAATGGATTAAAGACTTAAATATAAGACCGGAAGCCATAAAATTACTAAAGGAAAATATAGGGGAAACACTTCAGGTAATAGGACTGGGCAAAGGCTTTATAAATAAGACCCCAAAAGCACGAGCAACAAAAGAAAAAAATAAATAAATGGGATTATATCAAACTAAAAAGCTTCTGCACAGCAAAGGAAACAATCAGCAGAGTGGAAAGACAACCTATGGGATGGGATAAAATATTTGCAAACTATACATTCGACAAAGGATTAATATCCAGAATATTCAAAGAACTCAATTAAACAGTAAAAAAAAATTTTTTTCAGTAAAAATGAGCAAAGGAGATGAATAGACATTTTTCAAAGGAAAACATACAAATGGCCAACAGGTACATGAAAAAATGCTCAGCATCACTAGTCATCAGAGAAATACAAATCAACCACAATGAGATACCATCCCATCCCAGTTAGACTGGCCATTATTAAAAAGACCAAGAAAAACAAATGCTGGCAAGGATACGGGGAAAGGAGAACTCTTCCACACTGTTGGTAGGACTATAAATTAGCACAACCATTATGGAAAACAGTATGGAGACTCCTCAGACAACTACAGATAGAGCTACCATATGATCCAGCAATCCCGCTACTGGTTATATATCCAAAGAAATGGAGATCATTAGGTTGAAGGGATACCTGCACTCGCGTGTGCATTGCAGGTCTATTTACAATAGCCAAAATATGAAATTATCTTTTTACTTATTCATTTTCTTGTTTATTTTCTGACTTTCCTTAGCATATAAGCTTCATGGGAGAGGAGGGATTTTTCCAGTCTTGGAGCTTTATCCCTAGTTTCTAGAACAGTGCCTGGGATGAAGTAGGCACCCAGTTAGTATTTGCAGAATGAACAAGTTTAGCAAAAGAAAACCAAACATAGTAGTGTGCTTCAGGTGCCACGTGCTGCTTATTTCTGCCTTTTAGAGGTGGGGAGAACTCTTGATTTTGCTTTAGGAATATTCCTAAATGTTGCCTAAAATGTTGGAGCATGTGTTTATATATTCATTTATCAGTAAGATACTGTTAATTTCAGAGCCTTAGAAAATATCCTTGGAAAGGATACATTGGAGCCAAAGACTTTGAGAGCACCAAATTATGTGATTAAAAATCCTTTCACCTCAGCCTGTGAATATGAAGCACGTGAACATAACCTTATGAAAGGAAGCCGTTTCATTCACTGACAATCTGACCCACGTAACCCTGGCCACACATACTGTCAGGTTCTTCCTGCTTCCCTCCATTATCTTTAATGTATGGGAAACTGTCATCAGGGAGTAGAATTTTTTGGTTTTATATAATTTAGTGTAACCCATGACTCTTTTTGGACCGGTGGCCTTGGTTGAGTAGACCCTTAGATACAGCGGAGTCACAGCTGGAACTTAAGAGGATTATGTTGTCCTAGCCTCTGAAAACAGTTTTGCACACCTCCCCACCCCAGTTTGTGCAGTACATATCCAACTTGTAGAATCAATAAGATTCTGATCCTCTCTAGGTTATTGTTTCTCTAGGCTCTGGCCATGGGATGCTCAAATCTGAGTTGGTTCTAGGACCTCTGTGAGCCTTGAGACTCGCTGTGGGGCTACTAGGGATTGGAGTAAGCTTCTTGCCAGAACCATATTCTACTGTAGAGGGAACCCTTGGAGTTGGAGTTCAGCTTTGGTTGGAAGGTTATTTTCTTTATCTTAAGATAAACACTTCTTATTTTAACTTGCCCAGTATTTATTTCATATGTTATTAACCTAAGGAAATTATACTTGTCCTGCCTGTTGAGTAATTATGGGGGTCTAGAGGGGGTTTTCTAAGTGAGCATGTACGATAGACTTCTATGGAATCATAATATGCCCTCAGTTCACTCTTAGCAGAGAGCCTGGCTTTTTATTTCTAATTCTTCTGGGTTTGAGTTTTGCTGAGAATGTGTACTTGTAGGAGAATTTATGAGATGTTTGCACAAGACAGATGTTTGGTTTCTCTGAGCCAAGGAACACAAGGGAACAATAAAAAGGAAGTGGTGGGAGGAGAAGACCCAACATTAGCTTTCTGGGCCTGCACCCAGCCAGTGCCTCAATGCAGCAGGCACCCAGGAAGTATTTGGATGAATGGAGCTGAGATACAAGCCAAAAAGAATGTTTAAAGTTCTAATAATTCTGCTCTCACACCCTGCGAACAGGATGAATAACTTCATGCATATAGCAGATATCTAATTCTCAACACTTGTCTGCATCTATCCCTGTAGATCCAGATGTACCAGCTCTCAAGGCTTCTCCACGATTACCACCGAGACCTCTATGATCATCTGGAGGAGCATGAAATCGGCCCCAGCCTCTATGCTGCCCCCTGGTTTCTCACTGTGTTTGCCTCACAGTTCCCACTGGGATTTGTAGCCAGAGTCTTTGGTGAGCATTTGTAAATCTGTTTGCCAGAACCAGCCTTTTCCTGTGAGACTAGAAACACTTATTGTCACTCCATGGTGATTCTTCTTATTTTTATTCCTGTATCTCTTACAAGAACAGGGTGTTGTTTAATATTCTAAGTTTAGTCACGGTTGGGATTTTTGGCTCTCAAGTCCTGCTAACCTCTGATAATCATGGGCTTCCTTGGATGCCTTCATCTTGTGGGATTTAGGTCAGATTGACCCACCACCAGCTCTCCCTGGAGCAAATGCTTTGAAGACCTGGCCGAAGAGCCCCAAGCCTATATTCATATTTCTCATGGATCACCTTCCTCAAGTTCTCTGGCTTGTGACTCTGTTGACTGATAGCTCCTTAAAACTCTGACTGGCGGCTGCTGGGGTGCTGCTCTCTCCAGAGTCCCTTTGCATCTCCTCCTTCCCTTCCTCTTCTTCCCCTGACTTTGGCTCTTCATTTTATCTGAAGTCACTCTCTTGAGACCAGTATCAGGACTTGGAGCGACACCTCTGTGGGAATGGCTCACTGTTGCCTCCTCAGCCTTGACACCTGCCTCCTGTTCCCAGGTGTCACACCATTCCCACTGTAACCTTTGGGTGTTCCCATATAAAACCATCCCCTATTCGATTGATGTACTTTTTGAGACCATCGTCTCTGTCAGAGTTAAGTAGGTGCTCACATGCAGAGTCTCAAAACTGCCTTGAGATGGCAGGGATAGGGCTGTCCTCTAGGAGATCAGGAACCCAATGAAATATTGTGAGCACAGTCCCTTCTTGTACAGTTCAGCCGGTCTGTATGTGGGATCCGAACCCTCGGACGGGAGCGCCGCACTATCCAGTGCGCCACTGGGCCGGCCCTCGATTGATGTACTTTTTGAGACCATCGTCTCTGTCAGAGTTAAGTAGGTGCTCACATGCAGAGTCTCAAAACTGCCTTGAGATGGCAGGGATAGGGCTGTCCTCTAGGAGATCAGGAACCCAATGAAATATTGTGAGCACAGTCCCTTCTTGTACAGTTCACTCTATTTCAAAATGAAAGTAATATTTTTGACAATTCAGGTTTTTTTTTTTATCAGGAAGGAGGAGTTTACTAAAAAATTAATAGTTATCACATATCAAGCGTTTTTAACTGTCATTTATGGTCAGTCACTTGATAGCTTAAAAACATGTACTCATACTTTTTAAGTGTTTTTAGAATTAGCATCTTGAAGGGAATGTTCAAAAACATTGAAAGTGTACTACTTTAGACATATTTTGGGTAGACATCTTTTATACCCAAATTCTGGAAATATAAGTAAGCATTGACTCTTCTCTACTCTCCTTCCCCCTAGAGTACTAGATTTTATTATTGTTCACTTCTGTCCACAAGAACCTTTAAAGAATTTCCCGTTTGGCTTTACGAGAAGAATCCATGTTCTTAAAATATTCACTACCTCTACCCCCTTTTGCGTAACTATCTCTCAAATTTTTATTTTCTACCCCCCAAAAAAAATTATTAGAATAAATTAGATACAAAAAACTATCTTCTGGATAAATAAGTAGCTGGTGAGATTTTATGAAGTTTTAAAAAAAGGTAACTAAAAGCCTCAAAATTGTATGCTTAGTAACTAACAAAAAAGTTATAGAAACTATAAGATCTCTAGCTATAGGCTTCAGTCTTTCTTGCCATAACTTCTATGTTTTTTTTTTTACTTTTCTTACACTGGAAATTAAAAGAAAATTATTAGTCCACCTTATTTACGTTTTCTTCTAATTCTTTAACTATGTCTTTCATACAGAGTCATGGAGGGAGGAGGATTGAAAGGAGGGGGAGGTAGTGCTGTCTGTTAAAGGTCTGAAAACAGCTCAGGCATCAAATTACAAAGTTTGTGAAGAAAATTCTGCCAAGGGGGCTGGGCTGACCACAGACTCACATTCTACCAAGGGGGGTGGAGGGGCTGAGTGGGTCATCACTGAGTCACCACTGCCCTGGGGCCACAGTCACCCAAACTGCTGCTGCAGAGAGTTGTGGGGCTCTAGAAGAAATTTTCCTTAGGCTGCACGAGTGGGTAAAAGGCATTAAAAAACAAACTCTGCTTTGGGAATGATAGCGATTCTATCACAGAATTTGGAGCCCTGTAAAGCTCATTCTGTGATGACTTCGCAAATAAAAGCTGAAGCCAGTAGAGGCAAGGTATTTTTCTCTATATTATGTAGACAGTGACGAGTCTTGGAGGTTCTTATACATTAAGCATAAAGATGCCAGTGTCTACACAATTCTTGGATCCCACAGACCCCTGCTGTACTAAGTGGGTTCCTGTCCACCTGTCTAAGAGTTCCTCGGATTATAGGCAGGAAGTGGGATCTCGAAGCAGCACTGTGTTGTGATATCACTTTGCAAAAACTGCTGAGGTTTTTTGTATTGTGTTTTGTTTTGTTTGCATCTCATCTTTTAGGACTTAAAAACAAACTTCGTAGGCTCCACAGTAAAGATCGGTTTTTAAAAAACATTTCTATGCTTAGCATTGGTGACTTACAGAACCATGTTTGTTTAGCTGCATGGTGGTAGATAACTTAGTTTTAAATTCCAGAGCCTGCCATTCAGAGGTAGTCTTGTTTTGGCCTGGGGCCCATTGCATTATAAGCCTTTAAGCCTAGATAAATCCTAAAAACAAATGGACCTTTGCTGACTATTCACTATTTTATATGTGAGTAAAAGATTCTTAGCTTGCATCAGCATAGCTCATACATTAATTAATAGATTACTTCAAGTTGTGTATGCTACCTGGAGGGGCAGTGCCATTGGCATCTGTGCCTTAACTTTTACGTGGTCACCACACTGTACTGAATGTCAGCCCTTCTTTCTGGTGTCACAGAATGTAAAATAGCCTCCTCCTATATTTTTCTAGTTTGGGTGTAGCAGGGCCCTGGGAGAGATGCTTGCTCTGTTCATCTGTTGATCACATCTCCCTTTGAGGAAAAATCTGCAAACAGGACCTGGCTTGCTCCTGATGGAGGAGGTGGCGGGGGCGGCAGCAATGCTAGGTGCTTGATGTTTTCCTGTAGGATGTGCTGCCAAGTAGATGAGTGAGGAGGTGTAAAAACTAAGGTTTTGGCAAAAAAACCCACAGAAGCCACCTGTTATATAGCGAAGGCTTCAGAGAGCGTTTAAAATGAAAATAGACTGGGGAAACAAGATTGTTTATATGGCCAAGAAGCTGTCCAGCTGTTCAGGTAACATGATGCAGTGGTGAGGAAATGAGTTTTTGGTTTGTGCTGTTGGTCTGCGCAGCACCATTTCGGCCTCCACTGCCCCTTCCACCTGTCGCTGATAGGAATGAGGGAGGCCGCAACTGGAGGATTGCCTTTTCCCGGGAGAGAGTTAGGGGGAGGGATTGCCCTTAGCAAAGACTTAAAAAGGGCTGGAAAAGAGATGCAGTCTGAATTCGCATAGGAACAAAACATAAGAAAAATTAAAAAATAAATAAATTTGCATAAGAGAATTGCACTTTCAGATCATGGGGAGTTTCAGGTAGAGTGCTAATACACGGTAACACAATAACAGGGCTCCTGAAATGTCTCAAAAGGGAAATAGTTATTTGTGGTGTTCTTAGCGAATAGTGTGCAAAGTGGTGGAATCAGCTGAATTTAAGATTCCCTCCATTTCCTGCCTGATAAAACCCTTTGCCTGTTTCTAGGTAGCTTGAACAGGAGAAGAAAGGGAAGAGGCAGAAAGTTCTATTGAGAGGAAGCAGGCTACAGAGTTGTGAGCCAGGCTGCTGCAGCACCACTGGGGTAACTCTAGCAGTTCACTTTCTTTTACAGTCGTTTCCAAATGCAGGACATTAGCTCAGTTTTTCAAGGAGAATTATTGTTTTGTTTTAATTTCAGAATGCGAAGGTATAAGGATTGGAAGATGGGCAAAATAAAATAGTTGGGTTTATAGGTAACATTTTTCTTTACTACTATTTAAAAATTACTTTTAAGTTTTAAATTTCCAGAGGGAGAAAAAGGTACAAATTGTTTGAAGGATGTAAGTATTGCCCCTAACTATTGTCAGACAAATTTAGGAGCCCCTATGTCCCAAGCAAAACTTTGAGGGGGGTCCTTCCTTCAACCCTTCAAGCACATTTCTTTCATTGTGCACCCAAATGAGCTCCTTATTCAAGACTTCCCCAAGCCAACAGAAGCTTCTGGGGCTGAGCTTTCCTGGGCCTCACTAGCGCAGATGACCCTCTGGCTTGTCCTCAGAAGGCGAGACACTTAGAATGGGAGGAGTGGTGATGGGTGGCATCCCTTGCTCTGGCAACATGCGTTTGTGTGTCTGTGGCAGGAATCAGCATAATCTCCTCACAAGGTGGTTTTTCTGTGTCTCAACCTAACTAGCTGCTGCAAGGATCAGACCCATCACCTGGATCTCATTAACAGCATCTCCTTACCAATGCACTGACCTACTCAGAAAAAAGGAACAGAAAGTGTTCAGTGACTCCCTGCTGCACTCTGGGTCAAGTGTGAATTGCTCGGCCAGGGCAGAAGGCCCTTGGTGAGCGAGCCCCGCCTCCCCCACTGTTTGCCCCACCACCTGCCCAACATAGCCACGGCTCTTGCCTTACCAAGTGGTTCTCAGGCTCCTGCACAGGACGTGGTTCTTTCACACCTCTCTGCATTTGCACCCTCTTTTCCTTCTGCTCATAGTTTTGTTTCCTGACTTCTCACCTAGCAAGTTTCTATTGGTCCTTCAAGAACTCATCTTTCCTTGGACTTTTTCCTCCTCCTTTGTTCTCTTACCACCGTGGGCATAACTCCACCAAACTGATACTTGTTGGTGCCTCTGCAGTTTGTTCTTTGTGCTTTCTTGATGGCTTAATCCCCAGTGCCTAATACAATGCATGGCACTTATTAGATGCTCAGTGAATAAATGAATGCCTGTTAAGTTAGAAGAAACATCTCAGCAGATGAGAAGAGTGCTGTTAAAGTGTTGGGAATGGCATTAGGAAAGAACATTTCTTTTTCATTACATTAAGTGCAGACCCAATGAAATAAACATGTCTAGGTTATCTTTTGTTTTGCTTTTTTTACATACCAATATAGAGATTTTTTAAAAAACCACACACATCTCCAAATTGCCTTTTTTCTTCATACAATCCAGGAAAGTCTTAGTTTAGAATCATAGGAAGCACTTTGCTAAATTGATTACCAAAATCCTAAAGGATTAAAACTCAGAAGACCCATGCTAACCTAAAAAGACCACTGATACTAATTGCATATTTGATTATGCTCATAAAAGTTTCCCAGTAATTTTTTTTAATTGGCTTAAATGTGGTACTTTAATTTTAAGCTACTTGTTCCTCCAAGGCTGAAGATACCAAGCTATAGAAAATCATTGGTCTGGTAGTGAAATCCTTTCCTCGGGATCCCTGCAAAAAAAGTCTAGATTTTTATTCTGAAAGATGTCATCAATTTTTGTTCAGCTAGAAATGTTCATATATTGAAAGGAAGTCTTACTCTCTCTAAACCGCTGAAGCTTCAAATTTACTTTATCATTTTGTTTTTGGAAGTGTCATTTCTGTTTAAAAATACATCTTCTAGTACTATTTTATATCTTTTTATTTTCTGTAGTGGTGAATTATATGGGTAGATCGTATATTTTTAAGCCAGACATTTCACAGGAATATTCTGCCACGGCACTGCCTTGAGACATGTAATACTTCCCCTGAGAAGGTCAAATTTCAAAGATACAATCAGTTCTGTAATTGGCCCCAGCTTCAACAACTAAACCTACGAAGGAAGCAAGGGATCAGTCCTTTTTAGTGTCCTGGGGCCACCCTACACCATTAGCAGTTGTGATTCTTGTGGAAACAGTGTGGGCCCTGAGCTGTGTGGGAGATGCAGGCTGAGCAGGACTCTCAGTGTTGAGGATTGCATCTAGCCCAGGGGCACCAGCTCAACTCACATGGAGAAGGGCTTTGTGAAGGTCATAAAGATTCTTGAGGGCTAATCTGGCCAGCAGGCACCTAGCTCTATCATTTCTCCTTTCTTTGTTGAGAAACCACCGTGACTCAGTTTCCCATTTGCATGGCAGTATCCAGCCTTTGCTTCTTCGTTAACTAGCTTTTAAATATTATCACACTAGTGCTGCTAACACCAAGGTCAAGGGATTCCTATACTGGGCCAGCCGCCCCAGTGAATGAATGAATTTTACTAAACCACTAAGAGAGAGGCCATGCTGTGGATTCTTTCCCTCACCTGCTTTTGTTTTCCTTGATTTGATGAAATTTACAACTTCTTTTTCTCTTCCATTATCCTGCAGTCAAAAAAAAAAAGAAATATTGACAGTTGCCTCTACTTTCTTATTCCAGTTATTGGGTAACTTGCCTGAATTTAGTCACCCAGTAATTAGTTACTATGGTTGTGCATTAGCCTCAGGATAAGTGACTCTTTTCCAATGGCTTCAACTCTACGAAGAAGGGAGAGAAGGGCTGGGCTTGCTGCTTAGCCAGTTGCCTGGGCTGCTTGCCACTATGTAGAACTAGTGTAGGAACTGCTAACATTTGCCAGTCATCCTAACATAAAAATATGGCAAGAACTAGAAAGTAACCTTGACAAAGTGTTTGAACTCCTTAGAGGGAAAGCTATTTTTTACTCCATTTTTATGTTAAAATTGAGTATACTTGTATTTAATAATGTACTTTTGCAGTTGTGCAGATGTCTTACACTTTGTAGTGATCTTTTAATTCTATCCTTTATTTCAAAACAGAAAACAGAGGCCATTTTTCACTTATTTTATCTTAATTTCTGATGCTGTATCTATAAAAATCTTATAGTTTTACCCATAAAAAACGTATGGTTTAGTAACTTCTTTAAAATCCAGAGCAATCCTGGAAAAATAGACTAATAAAAACTTTTCTTTTTCTTTCTCAATTTAACTTTTAAAGCATGTTTGAATTTAATTTATTTTCAGGGTAACCTTTGGTTCTTTCATTTCTGGTATTTATATTCATTTATTCCCTTCTTATAGCTTTTGTTGCATAGACATATGTTTTATAGCTGCTGGGGCAACCTCAGAGAGCCTTGGTTACCTAGACTGAAACCTGCATCAAGTGAGTGCCCAACTCTTACCCTGCCCCTGGCTCAAAGGCAGGCTGCCCCGATGGACATTCAGATTATCTCCTGGGTCTTGAGCCCCAGAAAAAATTCCTTTTTCTCCCCTTTTCTGTAAAGAGTAAATATTTATTGAGAGTACGTAGTGTGCCTAGTATGCATCAGGTGTGCTTTAGATGTTGGAAGAATAGAAATGGACATGATGTAGAAAGAGTAGCTTTGTGTATGTGCCTGATTTGTTTCAGGCAACTGTTTTGGACTTGGCATTTATTATTCCATTGACTCTTTAACAACTCTGGGACATGGTATTATAATCCCCATGTTTATAGATGAGGAAACTGGGCACAGAGAGAGAAACATGCCCAGTACCCTATATCTAAGGTGGCAGGGCCTCTGGGAGCTGGGCCATGGGGTGGCTGAGTGCTACTGTGGGAGTCGAGGTCATTGAGATCAGCTTGACCTAAAAGAATGAGCTAAGACATGGGTCGGCAAATGTTTTCTGTAGAAGGCCAGATAGTAAGTATGAGCGCACTTCAAAAAGTTTGTGGAAAAATGGATTTAAAAGACAAGAAAAATCTTTCCATGAACTTTTTGGAGATCCCTTGTATTTTAGGCTTTGTGGGATGTAAGATGTTTGTTGCAACTACTCAACTCTGCCCCTGCACTGCAAGAGCCACAGGCAGTATATAAAGGGACAAAGTGGCTGTGTTGCAGTACACGTTATTTATATAAACACAATGGACAGGTTCAGTCCTCTGGCTGTTGTTTGCTGAGACCTGAGCTAAAAGATCACAGCATATGCTAAGGCACAGGAGTGAGAGAACAGAGCAAGTCTAGGTAACTAATGTATTCAGCATTTGGGGGGGGGGGGTCCTATGGGTGTAAGGAGCACAAAATCTACACTTGGAGTCAAGGGTTTCATTCCAACAGTCTTGACAGAAAACATACAACTCCAGGCAGCTGTCTGCCCTCTTTCCCTCCTGTGTTTCTATCTGGAACTTGACATCTGAATGCTGTCTATCCGACTTTCTGCTCTCTCGCTGTCCCTTCTCCCTTCCCTTCCAGAGGGCGCTCTAGTGTTGAGTCCCACTCAGCAGGCCTCAGGTGCAGCATGCTTCCTGTGCAGCCCTAGAAGACCCCCGGGCCTGAATCTGGGAGGCCCACAGGGAGAAGCAACAGGTGCAGTCATTGCACATGAGGGAGCACACTGCCCCTGTTTGTGGAGGGGCTGGCAGTGGGGGGAGCCTGGGCAGTCCTCTGCGGTAGGCATGGCTCCATTTCACTAAACATCCTCCCTGCAGATGGTCTCAGCTTGAGTGACTGGGACACAGCCTGGATCCTAGAACAGAGAGAAAGTGGTCAAAGACAGGGCCCTGGAGCTCTGGCTCAATGTGGACAGGCTGGGAGCAGCCACGGAGGGCATTTCCAACGACAGAGCCCAGGGCAGAAGGACAAGGGTCTCTGGAGCCTCTGTGCTAGTTCCTCAGTATGACTTTGTGCTTGCCAAGGTAGCTGTAGGCTGAATGTAAACCATAAAAGTCTTCTGACCCAAGAAGAAGGGAAGCTCTGGGAATATTGTAATGAAGGGAAGGAGCTCAGTGTTGTGCTCTTGTCATGGTGAGTGCTGTGCGACTAGGAGGCTTCAGTTCAGTGTGAGGAGGAAAGACAGACTTGAAGGGCAGCTTTGGGAGGCAGTGCAATAGCCTATTCTCAGCATCCGTTAGGCTCTATTCAAAGTGTGACCCTGGACAGGCGTGGTCATCATGTCATGTAGGAACTTGTCAGAAACGCAGAATCTGGGACCCCACCCCAGACGTGCTGAACCAAAATCTGCATTTTTTTTTTTTTTTGACCGGTAAGGGGCTTGTAACCCTTGGCTTGGTGTTGTCTGCACCACACTCAGCCAGTGAGCGCACTGGTCATCCCTATATAGGATCCAAACCCACAGCCTTGGCACCACCAGCACCACACACTCCCGAGTGAGCCATGGGGCTGGCCCCAGAATCTGCATTTTAATAAGATCCCCAGGGGACTCACATACACACATTTGAAAAGTTCTTTGGTGGGCAACTTTATTAAAAACACTCTAGACAACTCCCTGTTCTAGTTGAGCTTGTAGGATAGAAACCGGAATCTTAACAAGGTTCCTGTGTTCAGAAGATGCTCTTCAAAATCAATGGCAAGGCTGCCTCTTCTCCCCTTGATGGGGAGCCCTCACTTCTTGGGCAGTTGGCACTATTGAAAATGCGTAGTTTTGTAAAAGAACAATAATGCCAACCCAAGAGGGTGGGGTATGGTGGGAGAAGTATTTTACCACTGGTGTTGTTTAGAATTGCTCACATGTGGTGATAATAAAATGCAGACCAACTTTTAGTGGGTGGATTTTATTATTATTTTTTGAATCCCTACAGACAATGCACCCTCTTGTTGCTGATACCTAGGCAGACTGCTCCCACTGTCCAGTCCCTGGTATGCCACTGAGACCAGCAGACTGAGTGGCAGACTGTAGGGGTTAGGAAGGTGGAAAGTTTGTGGTTAGTGCTACAAACCTCAGAGTTAATGGCTTTATTATACAGTGTCCACGGACTGCAAGAGGAACACCGAGTTTCCAGTTGCAAATGAGCCAGGAATGTAACCGGACAATTCACCGAAGAAGAGAGCCATCTAGTAAACAGATACCTGGCACAGTATTTACCTTCGTGTGTAATTTGAATTTATGTACCATGTAATGCTTTACCTATTAGATTAACAAAATGACACTTTTTAATGCCAGTACCCGATGCAAAGGGTACACTGTTACCTTTCACATTAGCGTGCTGCTGATAGCATTGTACATTGATTACTCCCACTTGGGAAGCAATTTGGTGATATATACTACAAGCCTGTAAGCTATTCATACCCTTTGGCTCAGTAATTCCACTTCTTGAAATATATCCTTAGGAAATAATCCAAAATATGCGAAAAGCCATATGTACGAGGATATTCTCTTAGAGTTGTCATTTATAATAACAAAAACTTGGAAGTAACTAGATTTTCAATGCTTGATGGATGGGTTGATATGATTATGATATGTTAAGCTGGTAGAATACCATGAAGACATTTATAATTATGGTTATGAAAAATATGTAGCAATGTGGAAAAAGTCTTATGATATAATGTTAACTGGAAAAAGTGGGATAGGAAATTTTATGTTGGTTATGTTTACAACTATGAAAACGTGCTTATAGAAAAAAGATGAAAGCAAGTATAACAAGATGATGGAAGTCGTACTGGTAATTTTTATTTTTCAAGCTTCCTACAATATAGCTTTATTGCTTCAATAACTTTAAAAATGGGTAGCTTATCTTTTTGGCAAAACAAAATTATGGAAATAATTCCTACTTTGCCATGCAGAAAAGAATGTTCCCTTTCCTTCACTAAAATTCTGAAAATTGCTTGAAAACCTTGGAGAAACAGAGCCAGGATGATGGGAATGCACAAGATCCCCAGTAATTACGACTATAGTGGAATCGTTCTGAGCTGGACCAGGAAGAAAGATTAGAGCCAGTCCCCCTTGCAGAGGGGCTGTGCATCTTGCAGCTTTGTGGAGAGACCAGCGCTCAGGGAATGGCTTAGGCAGGACTTGGCCAGGGCCGGGCACTCATGCCTATCTCCGTGCACATGGAGAAAGGGAGGTTATGCAGCCTCATGAACACAGGCAAGAAATGAAAACACCTCAAAGTGTACCTTGCTTTCCCATCAACGTGTAGTTTTTAACATTCCTCCTTTTTGTTCATTGATTGTGTTCTCTGAGGCAGCATACCATAAGATCAGGATTTATTGTTAGAACTAGCACTGGCAGCGGGTCACTTATGCCTTCTGGATGTGCAGGGACAGGCCCCTCCTCCCACCCCTATCTTCTGCCCTTCTCCAAGTAATTGGACCAAGGACTGAAAGCGTTGTTCAGGGACTGTAGTGCTCCTTTTGCCACCAGCCACATACTGCCATGGTTTGGGATATATTCCAGGGCATAACTGCAAAATCAAGGGCTGTGAGTTTTTTGGCAGTCAGGAGATAAAGATGCAATTAAGCAGAGACATTTGTGACCCAGAATGGTTCCCAGGGATTAATGGAGGCCTGGGAGAGTTTACAGCTTTGGGCACAGCTAAGAGCCATTAACCTTAAGAGCTCATCAATGTGTATAAAAGGCGCAGAGGTTTTGTCTGTAGGTTTTTCAGGTTAGGACATCATTTAAAAATAAATCTTTGTGGAAGAAAAAAAGTGATTGTGTGTCTGACATTTATTCAACACCGTATTTATAATTACATACTAGTGCCACAGCAATCTGTTTTAGTGTTTGTCGCTTTTACTCTGTTTGAACTATTCAGAAATCCCATGATGTGGCATCCATTGTAGTTTTGCTGAGGCATGAGGTTGAAATGTGAGGGTTTTGTGACAGGTGTGTGGAAACAGATCCCTTAGCTAAGGGGGCATCTACTCAACTTGCCGGGCGTGTGCTGGGAACTTCGTGAGTTGTCTCATTGAATTCTCAGCCATGCTGGGAGGAAGGTGGGGGTAGCACCCTGCTGGAGGCTGGCCACTGAGGCTGGGAGAGGGTAAGTAACTCGTTCAAGGTCATTCAGAGTTGCCAGCAGAGCCCCGATTTCAGGGCTAACTCAAAGCCTCTGAGTCAGCTACCACAACTGTAAAATGGAGACGATAATCCTGCTGACCTCACAGTCACTCTGAGGGACAAAAGAAAATCAGTTTAATACATTCATAAACTGTTTGGCCTCTCTCTCCCTCTCT